GTCTGGCCAAGAGTGGGATCCTCTGTAAGGCAATCATATCCCAATCAAGGGGATAATACATACTGATATAGGCTTACGGCCGCACCAGGATAGAGTGCCCCGCAGCTTTGTAAAGTGGGCCCGAACGCTTTTTCCCCAGGCTATATTTCATGTCCTCCTTGGCGGTGTCCGTCCGAGGTCACACCGAGTGGTCAAGTCGAGAGGATTGGGCCGCCCGGCTATCGATTGGCTATCCGAGCCACATTCTAAATCGTCCAATTTTGCCGAGGGTAATTTGGGAAGAATTGCGCGATGTCAGCCATTTGGACAAGTTTCCAATATTGTTTGTATCCTGGCGGCGTCAGGGTGCCTGGCACCGGGACCGGGAACAGGTGGCCAAATGACCACTAATTTCCACAGTCGCACTTCAGGGTATTTGGGGAATTGCCTGTGGTCAGCGAAATCCTCCGATTCCCTCACTGCATCGGATTCTGAAAGACAGGAAAAACGCTTAGACCTTTGCTAGCCTTTTGGTAGTACCATTATATAGCCAACAACATATGTGAAGGATATAAAATAACAGAACAAAGTAGCATGTTTTTTGTCTGTCTTAAAATATATAGCTACTAGTCCTGTAGGCATTGATCTGTTTTATCTTGTATGCATTTGTCATGCCTGGTTATCTGGACATATACCAGGAAACATTCTTAAAGTGTGTGTCTTTTCGTTTAACTATTCATATCAGTCAATGTTACCGTCTGACATTGAGTCTCCTCTCTGAACAAAACCTGCCTTCACGAATATCTCACAGTCCTTGGCGCGGCCATTAAATTTTCATAGCTTTTGACCTTATGTTTCCACATGTTCTAAAGATGAGTTATGAAGCTGGAGGGCAAAGTCATCGATCACGCACCGTCTGAACATTGAAGAACAAAGATGAAAGATATGTATAAGATGTAACAAAGAATTGAAAAGATATTGAATGTGGTAACAGTACTGAACGTGTCTTTTTTTTCTGTCTACTTTTTTGCAGGAAAATTGACCACAATCATCTGACGGAATTCGTGAATGTTGGCGCCTTTGCTCCAAACCTCACCGTTCTTAGCCTGTAAGTATAACATACATTATTAAACTTAGAAGTATCTTTATATACCGTCATGACTTATTCAGTATCAAGGGGTGGGGAGCAGTTGTTGAAAATAACCAGCTGGTATCAGTTTTCAAAACGTAACCTAAAATGTGTATTTTTGCCAACGTGATGCATCACCTAGCACTAGCAGTGGTCGTAATACTTGTTTTTTTCCCAGTGTTCTGCAATATTGCAGAATTCAAACATACATGCATAACTAGTAATATAGCTTAAAGTCAGTAGTAAACTCAAAAGCTACCAAGCAATATACAGACATGATCGAACCCCTATTCTGATTTTTTCAGTCTGCAAAATTGCAGGTTGCTAATTTTTTGTTTTGCAACATTGAAAATGTCACTGCAAATTGCAAACGGCAGAAGGGTATTCCTAACACTGTGCTAGACAGGCTAAATAGTAGCTGTCCAGCCTTGATGCCCAGTGGCATGTGATAAACTCACCTTTTATGCACCACTTCATAGCAGAATCCCCCCAGGATACTCAGCTATAGTGATGCTCCCTGGCATTCCAGCACAGCCCAGCAGGGAGTAGTAGCTAGGGGAGCTTGGTGCTGACCACCTGCAAAAACTAGGCCCATCAATCATCAGGCACATCTCAAGAAACCCAGGGGGTCATGATCTCCTGGATTTGGCTAAGACTTCAAATGTTTTTACACAGAAAAGTGGCCCTAGTAGGCTGTGAAGTAGTAAACAATTGCGTAGGAGACATTTGATGGAACTCAGAGAGTTGGGATAAAACTGTAGCCCCTTTGTTATTTCTGGAGGTGCTTGCAGTAAGATGTCACTCTTAACTGAAGTCAAACGGTGACCATAAATTCTTCAAGGCAGACGTTTCTGCCGGATATCAGAGCCCAGGAAAGTCAGACGTCGAGCTTTCATGTACCATCGCAGAAATTGAACTTGTGACTCTACAAACACGACAGGAGCGAGGAATTACGACAGCCCTCCTTGGAATGCCTGTTGCACTCTGGGTGCAACTCTCTTTGGGACCGATCTCTCTGGGTTTGGAAGCTACGGTCACCCCTCCAGTGTTGTAAATCGCATTCGGTTGTAGATTAGTGTCTTTGTATGCATCATTTAATGTACCAAGGGGGACGGCAGTATTGGTAGTCCATAACCGAAGCTGGTCCTGTGAGGCCTCTAAACCTGATCTCCAACACTTCCTGTCAGTTGTATATGTTTCAGTGATTGGGTCCACCAGGACTACCTGTGTGTGTGCACAAATGGATTATACTTATCTAATTCTTGCAGTTGAGCAATTTTGGTAAAAACCGGGGCTGGGAGCATAAATCTGGTGCGTAGTGAAGTCAACGTACTCCACTCACATTTGAAAGGCTCCAAACTTGACGTTTGTGTCTGGAGCGAAACTTGCAGGGCTCTCTGTAGGGGAGCAGCATTTGGTACGAGCCAGAGCAAAAGTTCCTGATTAAAGTTGGCACTAAATAGCTGATCCCTCGGCCGGTTGAGATATCCTAAAACCCCCCTGCTGCCCTTGACCTGCATGCTTCGGGAGCGACACCAGCAGACTAACTGCGGAGAGAAGGGATCGGTTGGAATCCGTCTCCCCTGTTGTAGACGTGTGAATTCTTCTTCACCTGTGGCTGAGATCTAAACAGGGTGGCCGGTTTTTGCGGCCGCAGTTGTCATCTCCCAATTTGTTGGGATGAGCCCTGGCTACAGGCAGGAGAATGCCGGCCAATCCTCTGGTGCATTGTAGTATGCCAGGGTGAACCTGAGGCTGAGTCAGACAGCATACCAAACCCATGCCCCCCTTGACGCGTCTCGAAAAATAAAGCAAGATCGAGATTGAAAAGGATTCGAAGAATGAAGGACAGCTTCTTGAGTTGACCACAACTTTTTAAAAAATTATCTGCCAAAATAGATAAATTATTGTGGCCCTATGTCTAGAATGTGTTTGGATGGCTCTAGAGGTTCCAGACACAAGTGTATGAACTTGGGAAGAAGTTCACAGTTGTAGCTGGGAAAAATAAAACGTGTCTGGGATTTGAAGAATGAGGGACAGCTCCTTGCATTAGATAATCAGTTAATATGAACTTTTGTGGCCGTATGTGTAGAATTGGTTTGGATGGTTCTAGAGGTCCAGACATGTGTATGAACTTGGAAGAAGTTCACAGACAGTTGTAGCTGGGAAACAGATGGCACGGGGCCGGCTGGATCTTCCTGCCCATGTCCCACACAGGAAACATGCATGACAAACGATGTAGATCTGCAGAAGAAAGATTCAAGTTGCGGAGGAAGGAACAACGCGACGGCCGGATTTGTCCGTCAAGGGAGCTTAACGTGCCGCTTCCCCTTGTTGTTGCGAATTTGGACAAGAGATAACAGTGTCAGACAGCGAGGGTGTCGGTATGTTCCTGTTGCAGTGGTAGAAATACCCATCTGCATTTTACAGAGACATTTCAATATTGCAGAAGAAAAATTAAGCAACCTGCAAATTTGCAGAATTAAAAAATCAGGCTTGGGGTCCAATGGTGTTTAAAAGCTTTGTGTGTTTACTACTGACTGCATGTATTTTTCAAATCACATGTAAAATGTATGCCAACATGCAATTTTGTACATGCCATGAGTTTAGATCCAGACTTTAAAGTGTGTTTTTGCAGAAAGTATTTCTGACTTGCAGAACAAAATTTTGACATTCTGCAATGTTGCAGAACACTGAAAAAAAAAAAGGATTTCCACCACTGTGTTAGCTAGCGTTAGCCCGGTACGAGCGAGTGATTGTGTGCCATGGGTGCTTCAACAGGAAAATAATGGCGGGGACCTCTTGAGAGCTCATTGCTGACACACTTGAAACAGAACAGGCCCTCCTTGGCAGAACGAGAACATGGAGATAAGGACCCTTTCAACTTGAACTACAGAGGGTCTTTAACCTTTGGCACACTTTAGGATCCTTCTGTGTTAGCAAGTTCGGGTGATTACAATCTTTATGATGGGAAGAAATTCAAACATTAAACCACGGGTACGTGAATCAAAATTTTGAAACTCGGAATGGAATCTTTCAAAACTGTTTTTGTAAAATAAAGCCCTGACAATTTGTTTGCCTCACAAAGTTGACTAAAATTTTCCATTGCACGAGTAACTGCCATCCACGAGTTCACATTTTCTATTCTGCCATCCATTGTCATTTGGCTTTGCAATGGAAGTTGCTTACTAGTTGTCTGCTTTCTTCACATGTCCTATTGTCTGCTTTCTTCATATGTCCCGTCCTGTCTGGCAGACCAATCAAATTTGCATTTGCCACTTTTCCATCACACATTTGAGTGACATGCAAAACAAGCAGGCAACCAGACAAGGTTGTTTATGGTCCTTGTATCTGACAGGTGTTTATTGAATTAGCCCTGCCAGGGCTGGGCTTTCTATTTAGGGGGTAAATTCTTTTATGAGCAAGTTTGTTTAGACTGATGGGTAATGATAGGTTTGTAATAGGTCAGTCCATAAAAGTAGTCTACTCAGGCTTATGTAGGAAGAGCTTGTCTCCTCCCATGGCCCATAAAATTGTTCCAGTTGAATAGTTCTCTATCATATGAGCAGCCTGGACTCTAGAGCCAGCTCAATTTTCTTTTTTTGGTCATCCCATCAGCCGAGGTCACAATATATGCAAGTTCTGGCATTTTGGATTTCCAGCGCCTTTAAAATGTCCCACATTTTAGAGGCAAATCATGGTTGTTGGTGGTCCTTTCGATGTCTTTAAATTTTTCCCCTACCATTTTTGGCAATTTCATCCGTCAAGGTTGATGGATTGGTTTAAACAAATTGTCTGTCACATGCCATAACTGATAAAGTTCCTGCAATTGACAAAAAAAGGGTGCTGCTGGTTAGAGCCCTGCGTAGGAGACAAGACTACAGCCTGAGTTTCTCATCAAACGGTCTGGCTGTACCTGGGGATGCCATGTCCGGAACCTTCTGATCCCCCATCTGTGCATGGGGTCACCTGAATGGTGGATGGCTGTCACTCAGATATGCTTGTCCAATCAGGGTCTTGTCAATCTCGATTTGATTTCTGACAGTAGCAACATCTGCAACTTTCTTTAGACAATTTAAAATGTGTGAGAAAATTAATGTGATTTCAAATGGGACTTTTATGTATCAGTTTATAAATCTTGACTACATGTAGATATCCCTTCAGCCAAATAGGGCTGATTTCCAAAGAAGCCCACGAAATAGGAGGTAGAGACTGGTTTGTACATTCTGGTAAAGAGGTGTTCAGTCTAAAATGGTATTACAGTTTTTCTCAATCAATTGGAGGATTTCTGCTGTTTAGGCTTAGGTCAAGCCAACAGTTAGTGTTTCTTTACTCTGTAGTGGATTTTCTTGTCTAAGTCTAGTTTTTCACACATGCAGAACCACTTTGCACTGGACAATTTGGTGCGGAGGTTGGCCCTGGGATTACCAGGGTGGCAAACTGATACAGGGTAAACACAACCCTGCTAAACACAGCCTGACATCTCATGGGCACTTCTCAGGCCTGAAATGTGGTAACAAACCCCTGATGTCCAGCTTTTCATGGCCGATACAGCAATACAGGCATCACAGAAAATAAACTGTGGGTTAGAGCTCAACAGATGGAGTGTTTGACGTCAATGTTTAGTGTTTTGGAACCGAAAATGAATGAAAACTGTTGAAGGATCGGCTTTTGTCCGACCTTGGCAAATGTTTGTATAGATGTTTGGTGAAAATAGCAGCTGGACGCGGAATCTGATATTTCCGCAATGAGGATTTAGTCGAAACGGAATCCTTCAGGAGGCGAGGCGGCGTGCAGCAGTCGGCGGATTTAGGCGTGCGGAAAGACGGGGTTGTGGCTCGCTGCTTAGAAGCGATGACCTGTCAGTACTTGGGGGATAGAGAGGGCACGGGTCCTTGTAAGGCACTTAGTTCTTTTGTTTTCAGCACGTCCCACTGAGTTGGTTATTAATGGGCTATTTCATTTGTCCTGTTGTGGCTGGGGGCTAACCCCTGTGCAGCACCCCACACTCAGGTTACCTACAACTTCCTCAGGTTACCCTCCCCTCCGAGGAGCGTGCCGTCTTTAGGACACCACCACAGGAGACCTGTTTAAAGATTTGTACCTCTTTAAGCTTAAACTGCCGTCGCTAGAGGTGACATACAACAGGAGCTGGCAGTTGTGGGGAAACAAGTGACGTTCATAAAGTGGAGAAACTCTTTCACCTTGTTAGATTCAAGATGGCTGCCTTCCCGCCACCACCTGTGCTGTTGCTGTCAACCGTTTACAATCAATACACAGGGCCCACCTCGCCTTTGTTTCCACATGTGCCCCACCCTGGGCTTAGGGGGATGCTTCTAATATTGTAAGGTTGGGAAAATCCATGAACTCCAGCAGCAGTTGGCTTCAAAACAATCCAGCCAGAGCGAGCTATCAGGGCTCGAGATTCATTTTTGGGAATAGATGCACTGGAACCAACCTAAAAAATTGGGTGCACAAAAGAATATTTTGGGTGCACCATATAATATAGAATAACTACAATTTCAGCAATAAATAATTATGTTTCGTTTCTTAATAAAAGTTTTACAACAATGGCTTTATTATTTTTCTGACACTTAAATGTTAAGAATATGCTGTATCCTACTAAAAGTATACATTTGACATCTTTACATGTTATGTAAACCTACGATAATATTCCAGTGTACCCACAGAAAAAAATTGGGTGCACAGCTCCAAATTTGGGTGCACTAAGGTGCACATGCACCCGGTATTTCCAGCCCTGGCTATTAACCTCAGACTTGGGTTCCTTTGATGGCTAGCAAATATTTTCGGGAAACCAGAACTGAGAAAGTCTGCCAAGCAGACCGGAGTTTATTTGTGTTGTGTAGGGGGAACAGGACTGGGATGTCAGCAGATGTTAGCTCTTTATGTGAAGGGTTAGATGCCAGATTAGTCAGGAAAAGGCCCAGGTTGTTTCCTATAATTGAAGTGAGATTCAAGCGTCACTAAGATGTCTTGTTGTGTTATACTCGAAAGGATCTTATTAATGTTTACAGAGCTGTCTCAAAATCCTTTCTATTGACATTTTACTGAAGTATTGACATTTCACCAAAGTTACTGCACTGAGTCATTTATGTAACATGGCTAGATGTTCGATCGCTTTCGGAGCTGACTGGGATTTCTTTTAGGAAGTGATCCGTTTTTGAACCAAATAACAAATTGCCTTTGTTGCTGAAATGATACTTAATGTTGCGCAGGGTTCAGATTATAGGGTAGGGGCCAAAGCTCTTAGGTAGAGATGAATGAAAGGGTTTTTGTGATGGAGCTTTGACTCAGCTGGCCTGGGGTGTTTTATTGACTGTCTGTCAAAATGGCCATGGCAGTGGGTACATGAGATTTCTGACCCCAGACTCTTTGCTGGAGACTGGAAGTCTCCCCACGCTACGGACGCACCTTTGAAGTATGGGTAAATTGTGCTTTGCGGCGCGGGCTTCTCTTACTGCAGAGAGGTGTGTAAAGGGAGCGGAGGGAACGTTGAATCACTAGATAAAGAGCCCTAATGCACTCGGCAAGGATGTTATTTTTAGTTTAAAAGCACCACGTGTACCTACGGTACGCTTTCCCCCAGATAGACATATTTAATGGAACAGAACATCACATAAATATGATTCAGAGGGTACAAAATAAATGCACTGGACAAAAAGCTAGACGTTACATTTCTCTACAAAGCTTGATGATATGTAGGTTGATTGTATTGATTGTTATGTACACCAGGTTTTATTCTTTTTTTGGTGTGAAATATGTTTGTTATACCCTCTCACACAAATCTCTGTATTTTGAATGTTTTGGTAGTTTGCAAGAAAGCTTTGTCGTATTAGGGTCACTGGTAATCTTTGAGTATTGTCGACAGAAGTCTGTAACTGAAAGTTGTTTCTTCAAGGCAAGGATCGGGTATACACTGTCCAAACACTACACTATCAACAAAGGATCTGGTGTGCAGGTGTGTTACTACAATGTAGGAGTTAATGAAATTAAGCGAAGTTGTTTGTTGTAAAACTGACATTTGCGTCCTCTTGTTTTTTTTTCTCCAGAGAACACAATCAGATATCTTCTCTTCCTCCCGGGGTTCTGAGCAACTTCACGTCATTACGGCAGCTTTACCTCAGCCACAACAAGATCTCGGCCATCCTTCAAGGCACCTTCCCCACCGGACTCCCCCTTTATACGCTGTAAGTGTCCTCAGAAGATGGCGATATGAGTCGGGAGTCAATTTGTTAGCACCGTGTTAGCCATCAGAACCTGCCCCGGGGGTGTTTGGGTAGGTGGGTTGATGGCAGGGTAGACATGACAGGACTGAATTCTAGATAAGTGGACACCAATTCTTGTCAGACTGCTGAAGTCTGAACTGCCAAGATTCTTATCAGAGGGCCTTTTGGGAGCCTGCAGAAGTCTTTAAAAGGTTGTTTTGTGAGGGGAATGTGATCATCTTAGGGAAGAGTAATGTTTTGGCTGGGGATTTTTAGTTGAAGCGTTGATGCTTTGTAGTGCTCATTATGTGTTGTAAAATATGTTTTGTGACCTATACTTCTTAGCTTCTTAAGTTTTTCATTGCCACTAACATTATTTTTTGTTCTTAACAGGGATCTGAATAATAACAAGATATCTGGTCTGACAAAAGGCTGCTTCGACAACCTGACTCACTTAGAAACCCTCCGACTCAACAAGAACAGGATCTCTCGAATCCCGCCGAAAATGTTCAAACTCCCGTCACTGAAGTCCCTGTAAGTATTGTGAATTTCTTAACGCCTAAGATAAATATAAAGAGACAACAGGATGTGGTGTTTTTGTAGTAGTAGAAGATAAAAGCGTCCTAAGTTTCTCAAGACAAGGAATACATGCACACCTGCAGGATGCATGCCTGGAGGCAAAGGCTTGGGCCCACGCAGGGGTCACGCGTGTACATGGGCCCTGCATTTGCAGAGATTTACGCCCAGAGAGACAGTGTGCCGTGGCCATCCTGGCTATGCTAATCCCTGCCTGTAGCCTCCAGGCACCCACAACTTTCTGCCAACTTCGGGAAAATGTTACCGTCGTGTTTGGCGCTGACATTTAGACTTATTTGTTGTATGTTGCATCCTAGCTGCTTTGTCATGGTTGGACATGGGGCAGTACCTCGGCGCAGTAAACAGGGGATTCTTCAAATATCAGGGTGTTACAGCAGGGTCATGTACCAGTGGAAATAAAGGGACGTTGTCACCGTAGACAGCACGCAACGTGCAAGTGCGTATCAAAAATGGAGAACGTCTGTCACGACTTCCAGCAAGTTTTTTGGCGTGTCATAAAAAAACCCGGGGCACATAGCTGGAATATTGTTTCACATGGCCTGGGTTTTTGGGCAGGGTGGGCTGAAAGGTGGCACCTAATATGGCAGCGGTGGCCGGGTGTCACAAGAATGTGTCAAACGTTTGAGGTCCCCTGGCTGGTATGTGAGTGACCAGGGGTGGGCTGGATGAGTTACTACTGTCCTGATACCTTCTGATATGCCTAATTGTGCGATGAAACGGAGACATTTGATAAGGCCTGGCCTCCTGAACTGGAAGATCTAGTTTGGCTGGGGCGGATCAGAGTCTTTTGTACCCTGCAATTATCGTAATTAGCGAACACGATAAGGGCGCTGATAGCTAAAACTGGTGGCCATGCCCGGGGAGCCACTCCACTTGTCAACAAAGCTCCCGAGATTGACAGATTTTCATATTAATCTGGACAAGCACCTGCCAACAACATACGTCTGGTACCCCACAGTTGGGAGGGTGGATATTATGGGTTGCGCTGAGGAAAAAACAAGTGTTGAAACTCTGTTAGCCGCCTTATTTGGACGGGCCCATGCTGGCTAACCAGTTAAAAATGTGGTCAGACTGAGAGACGTTAGCATATATCCTACCCACAGGCATTCAGGAAGTGGGGGAGGGCTCTGAGAAGATTTGAAGTTGACACATACAAAGCCGACAAGTTAAAGATGTGTGCCTTCCCTCTTAGACCTGTGTATGTAGGTCTGTAGTTGCCAAAACGATGTTGGGTTCGGGGATAGACAGAAAGGTCCAGGGTTGGTTGGTAGAAGAGGAGGGACAAGTCTCATGCCCAGCGTGTCCACAGCAGGGATGATTAATGTGATCCGATTTGGTAGCTGCTGACCAAACAGGTGCAAGTGGAGTCCCCTGCCCTCCCCACGGCCCCCATGTTTGGGGTCTAGTCCAACGGCCTCCTTGTTGTGTCTACAGAACCAAAGGAAGTCTTAGAAGATTATATTTTGCTGACAAGTTTGCATCCAGGAAATTTGGTTGGCTGAAGCTTCCTGAGTCGTGAAGTAAAAAAAAAGAAGTGCAAAGACGTTGTTGGACTTGTGGACATCTATGACAATGCCAAATATGTAGGCAGTTTGGATCAGTTGCATAGCAATCATGCAAGCTATTAAAAATAAGCTGAGGATCATGACTTGATACTGCACGCTCGAGTTCCTTTGAAATTTTTTTTCACACCCTTAACACCCAAATAGAAAAACAGCTCAAATGAGCGTTAAGTCCCCTTAGGAAAGCAAAATAAGCTTCCTTTGGTTGTTTGGGGAAACAAAATTGTGGAGCAAAGCGTCAATCTCCGGGAGGACTGAATTCATTCTCCGCGGTGCTTTTCTAGATTTCATGACAAGAGAAAAACAAACAACACAGTGTTCACAACAAACTCAAAAAGACACAATGATTTCTTATTCTTGTCCCTTGTATGAAATAGAAATGCTAATTTATCAAACATAATCAAAAGGAACTATTTGAAAGGTTCTTAGGTAGATAAGTATCAATATGATGAATCATGATGATATTTTTTTTAATCTAACGAAACTTGTGTGTTTCTTCAGCGAGCTGAACAGAAATCGTATCAAGAAGATCGAGGGTCTGAGCTTCCACGGGCTGGAGTCGCTTCAGGTGCTGCGTCTGAGGAGGAACCACATCTCTACACTCATGGACGGGTCCTTCTGGGGACTCAGCAACATTCAACAGCTGTAAGTACCTTACAGGCACTGATGTTCTGCCTAACCGTGTTTTAGGATGCTTTAGGATAGTTGTGTATGTGTCTTCCAAATTGCAACTGTATTGTTACAGAAATGGCTGTCCTAGATCCATGTCAGTGGACCATTCTGTCACAGTGAGCTTAAAAATTCTATGGCATCATAATCGTATGACCGCCTACAACGAATATGACTGAACTGTTACTGATACTCATTCCTCTGTCAATGAAGGTTTAGACTGAAAATATTTTGATTCTAGTGATACCTAGCCTGTGGTAACCCCCGATGTGAGACCAATGGAGAAAATCCTCCGGTGCTGTTCCATGTAAATGAGCCTGTTGGTTCTATGAGAAAGTAATGTTGAATGCAAACATAGAGATGGATTCACGCTGGTGGCACCGCAGGCCCTACCAGATGGTTAGGAGGGGGGAAAGAGATAAGAAACTGGAGATGCCCAGTTTTCCTCCTGCAGGGCCCATCTTGTGTCCAATGCTTTTGTCACAGCACAGCGCAGTCTTTAAACCTGGGATTATCTCCTGTGGAACAGCTTAGCTCACAAGCCATAAGAGCAGGCAATTCATCAGAATGTTTATTCTCTCTGCATCACATTTTGTCCGAGTCTCTATTTTTGGGTCCTGACCTATTTCAAGTTTGGCAGTAAATGTGAACCAATTTGAGCACATGGGAGATAGATGGTCCTGTAATTCTTGCCCATGAAGACCGTACTGTCCTTGGCTTAAATACTCATTAATGACAAGAAGAGCTTGATAAATGACTGCTCGAGCACAAATTAGACAGTAAAGAGCGTTCAGATCATGGCGATAGTGCCTTATTGGGGCCCAAGGTCATATTTAATTGGTACTGGAAAATGTTTATAGGATAGGAAGACCAGCAGTCTTGTCCAATTATGTGTTCTGAGCAGTTCCATCTCTTTGGGATGCATACTGCTGCATCTGCATGTGTTGCATGGCCGAAAGCTTGTAATGTATTGGCATCTGCATAGTTGGGACTAAAGTCTGGTCATGTCAAACGTGTAGATTAAGGTTGGTAATTAGAACGTTTTCTCCTGGGCAAGGAAAGCCTTTTATAACTGGCTAGTAGGCATCTGTGACAGATTCAATGCCAAGGCTGAACATGGAAGCCTGTAGTGAACTGGTCTGTTGTACGGTTCTGTAATGGAGCAGAAGATGTCCAGAGTTGAGTTGGCGCTAATGGGGGAAATCAAAGCCTTGTTGTCGGCTGCCTCTTAAGATAGTTTGACAACACAAGGTCGTGTTTGCTGCTTTTTCTCACCAGTCAAGGTCGCGGGCGGCGGACGCCACCTGTTCAGCGATTGTAGCTTGAGGGTCTTAATTGGTACATGTGTAGTACAAGCAAAAGCATACCACAGGTCCCCATTGGTGTTGGGCCCTCTTACTGGCATTTTTCCGACAGTGCTGAATATGGTAAACAGGATGTGGTTGGCTGATTCGGGCTTTGGGAAACCGGAGAGTTTGTGTGGAAAGTTACAATTTTCTGTGACTAAACACTGGTATTTATTTGGATTTACAACATCAAACCAGACGTTCTGAAGTTTTCTCATAGTTTTGTGTGCTAGCTGACCTGGACACATTCATGTCTCAAACGTGTCCATGGAAAGCTGCAACTTGCAAGAATTTGAAACTACTGAAATTAATTCTCGTGATTAACAAAACATTTTGATAGCATGCTATGGGAACATTTGGCGCTGATGTGATGCGTATGATTCGGCTCATTCAAGCATATATGTTGCTGAATAAAAAGGACGATTTACACTTCAGTGCACTTTCATTTCAACAGTTTTTCCATTGGGACAATACACACAGCCACACATGAAGTTAGTTCGCAGCAAAAAAAATCCTACCTAAAAAGAGTGCAAGGTGTAACATCGACTAAGCTTCAGTAACAAGGTGATATTTCAGACCCGCAGGTCCCCCAGCTCCACTGTTGACAGGTAGATGCATTGACTGGTGTTTAGCCCTACAGGCATGACTCTAATGTAGCCCCATTTCTCTCTCTCTCCCTTTCCACAGCCAAATGGATGGCAACAACCTGACCTCCATCACCAAGGGATGGCTCTACGGCCTCTCCAAGCTACAGCAACTGTAAGTTCTCTGGATTCCCTCCCAAATTTGGTTTGCGTTGCCCGGGGCTTGCCCCAGGTGCCCAAACATGACTGAATAAATCCGTTGGTTATATAGACATTTATGACATGGATTTAGCATATATTTTCGGAAGTATACCTGTTTTAGAAATGGCAATGATAAATAGTTTGCTGTTAAATATTTTTTTTTTTGATGCAACACTTCTTGTCCAGATTTTGTGTGTGATACCATCTTGTTTTGTATTCCTTGTAGGACTCTGAGCCGGAATGCCATCAAAGTCATTGAATCAGAGGGTTGGGATTTCTGCAAGGAGCTGTGGCATCTGTAAGTAGTATTGACAACTGTTTCCCCTCGTAGTGATATTGATATTTTTCTCAACTAGCTTCACTCCATTCCACTCACACACCACTTACACATGTACGTGGAATGGCAGGGCAGTCCAAAGACAGACCGTTGCTGTGTTTGAGAATTGCTCTTTCAGTGGATATGGAAAGCCATTATGAACAGTACTAACATAACTATGGATGGGATGGCAGACACTCGATATAAGCCAAGAATGTAGGATTTTTTTTACAGTAATTCTGAGTCATGTACTGACAGGGCCAGTGCTAACATTGATCCACCTACGCCGGTTCCATTATGTCTGCCATATCTTACCAGAGGTCAAAGAAAAATTGGGGATGTCAGTACGTTCTGGGTCGAAGGGTCAGTAGTCTGATTCGGGGCGAAATGCGAAGAGAGCAACACAGAAGTTGATTTGCTGGCTGACTTTGAACATGTGCAGGCTTGGGGGGGCATTGTCCAACTTGGCTTGGGTCTTTTACACCCCGTGACCACTCTGCAGAGACAATACAACACATTAGTTTTTGTCACCCAACTCAATCCTCATTTGCATGACATCAGCTGAAATCGTTATATTAATTGGGAGGAAATCTTCCCTGTCAGAAAGAAAACAAAAGGAACAATCGGACACCCTGGTGTCTATGTAGACGCATTCTTCTGAACCCCTTTGTGTCTGAAAGCATTCTGTGACTTCAGCATAACGGACCAAGTGAGAGTGACAATTGGTCAGGCCTGCGGTGAAAAGGAGCTTGTCTCCTCCAATTTGCATGCATTTCTTGGCGTATTATCATGTGAAAAGGTAGCTTTCCCTTTTTGTGATGGCCTGCTTTCTTGTGAAAATCAGGGACTCCTTTGATGGCACCCACACACACTGGACATATGTTTGTGTATGAAAATGTGTATTGCACATCAGAAAAATGTCTTATTTGAAATTGGTCCAGATTTCCGAAACGGAAATCTTCATTACCGTGAACCTCCCTATAACTTACAAGTGGTTTGTTCCCCACTAAATCTACTACAAGTCCCTAGGTGGGCACTCCCCACTCACCGTGGGGGGTGACAGATGTGTATGGTGTTGTATTCACCTCAAGTTTGACCCATGACCCCGAGAGACAAAAGCTATCTCCCGGGACACAGAGAAGCCCTTTGCAGTGGGCTGGAACCCTATTCATATTTCTCAGTATGTGAGGCTATTAGGAGCTCCCGGGTACTGTGTTGTGTCCATGACTTGTTCCTGATCATTTTCCCACTTCATCCATCAACGTTTTACCCTTTTGTCCTGGACTGACCCAAGCCGAACCCTGTTTTTGTCCATCCACCGGCTATCGCACCGACTTCCCTCCCTCCCTCCCAGTTCCCCTAACCTGTTGCCAAGTTACTGGGCACCATGCAAAATGCATTTCCAGCTGCAACATTCCCATGTACAAGGGTTGGGTCGCTTTCTAGGGGGGGTCCAGCGAAAAGCTAAAGGGGAAATTGGACAGTCCATACCACAGGGTTTGAAATACGTTCATTTGAAATCTTTCTGACAGATTCGGGGACCCTCGCTGCTTTAGTGAGAAAACCATCTTGGTATTTGACCAGAGGATTTGTACACTAGCAAAAGACGCTGGCTGCTAGAAAGAAAATCCTAAGAATTTGTTTTCAACACTATTTTTTTTTTTACAAATCATTCCTTGAGCTAAATAGTAATGACTGGTAAAATAACAAGAGGTATCTTATGGAGTACCTGCCATTTTGTATCATGTTTATGTGGACAGGTTTATGCGGTATTAAGTGGAAATTTATTGTTCAAGTTTTATGACCTTTTATACGGTCCATACACATTCATTTCTCATTATGTTTGAGCATCCATTAGATAACCTGAAAGCTTATACCCCTGTATTATTAATGACTCGTGCATTGTCTGGTAAAATGACAAACCAGAATAGAACACGGATACCCTATCAATTGATAGTTTCCTGATTTCAAACATGCAATGCCAGCCAGTCCTGTTGCACAGAAAGCCTAGGCTCTACCAGGCTTCGGGAGGCGTCTGGAAAGAGTTGAAATTGGACAAATAGAGAGATAACATGTCAGGAGAGTTGGTCCGCTAGAGAGTACATTTTGTCGCACCCAAAGTCTGTCAGGGATCGCTATGTTCTTTGAAGTCAACTGATCACTATCTAATAGGTGTGCAAAATATAGAGGTTACAGAAAGCCAGCCTTCGGTGGTGTTGTGTTGTGAATGTCTGGGGTTGTGTTTTGAGAAGCTGGAAAGTTGTGCATGATGTACAGTTCTCTGTCAGGAGTGCGTTGTAAGTTTGCCAACTTTCCGCAGCGGACACGACAAGTGAGGTGGAGATTTAAGTCGAGTGCTGACGGCTCCCCCCTCCCCTCTGCTAACCTTGCAGGTTGATATAATAAAGTAAGTGTTGTGCTTTGTTTTGCTTTCCGGCGTGTAACCAAGACCTTGTTTTCCTTGGCAGGGACCTGTCCCACAACCAGTTGATAGCGATCGAAAACGGCGCCTTCTCGCGTCTCTCCAAGCTGCAACTCCTCGACCTCAGCAACAACAAGATTTGTGACATTGCTGAGGGGGCCTTCCAGGGGCTGTCCTCTCTGCAGACTTTGTAAGTGCCTCTCTGTCTGTCTGAAAACTTGTTATGATTAAAGGTGCCATAACAGAAATAAAGTTTTTTTTCTCTATAATGTGCTAATGTAAACATTAGCCTGGGTTGTAACATTAAAATAACACTCCTAGCTAACCATTGGTGTACAGCAACTGCAAGGTTCTAGCTACAAGTAGAAGTCCTGATAGTGGGTTTGGTTTCTTATTCAGAACCGTTGGTTCTAGTATTGAAGATGATATTACACCATTGAGTTAGGCAGAAATATACTGGATGAGTTAGGCAAATTGCTTACATCTTTTTTTTTGCTCCCACAGAGAACTGAAGTCCAATGAAATCTCCTGGGCAATCGAAGACATGAATGGGGCCTTTTCTGGACTACGTGCTCTTAACAAGCTGTAAGTATCATCAGTTCCTCCTTGTCAGTGAGCCAAACTATCTCATCAAAGGAAAGGAAATTGAAAGATGTTTCACCAACATGCAAGCCAAGAGTGTTTGTAAATGAATGTTGCAACTGAACTCGACCGTCATACTGATAGAAGATAACGACATTGGCTTGGTTGGTCACAAGAATAATAATACAAGACAGGGTGCGCCAGGCCTCCATCTGGGTCAATTGCAATGTAAAACATTCAAGTCCAGAGCATCTAAAGATACATGCTTGTAGCAACTGAACTCAAGAGTCGTTATACTGATAGAAGATATTGAATTGGTGATCACACCTTTTTATTTAGTTTACTACTAAACCTTTTAGCCCTGCTTCCAAGGCTCAAACAGATACATTTAAAATGACATAATTACATGTCACAGAAAAGGTACAGTAAATACATCTAAAAAGACATATTTACGTCACAAAATCAACACTAAACACACAATGACTGACATGTCATTTGTCTCCCCTTCAGCAACCTGGACAGGAATCACATCAAGTCCATCGCGAAGCGTGCCTTCAGCGGGCTGGACGGTCTGCGCAAGCTGGACCTGACCGACAACGACATCTCCTCCATCCAGCCGGACGCCTTCGCTGGCCTGAAGCTGCTGGAGGAGCTGCGCATGAACTCCAGTAACCTCATCTGCGACTGCCAGCTGAAGTGGCTGCCCCGCTTCCTCAAGGAGAGCGGCTTCGGGAACACCGTGGACGCAAAGTGCTCCCACCCGGAGGAGCTCAGGGGCGTCAACATACTGCAAGTGAAGGACTTTACCTGTGGTAGGTGTTTTTTTTATACACACTAAGAAGTAAGATAAGACTTCCGTACTCCTTTTTGTCTGGTACTGTGTCTTCGCACCTATGAATCCTTTTGACAGATTTGCCTAAAATTTGGCATGTCGGTAGTGGAAGAGGGCACCAAACACTAAGCCCACACCACAACCACCATGAACTCTTCATGGAGGATAATCTTTCTCTCAAATGTACAGGAATTTCTTCAACATTTTACTGTTATAAAAAGTAATAAAAAGGTGCTACTTCATAGTTTCTTGATTCTGTATCTCTTGTATGAAAATGAAGACATTAAAACCATGCATTCTCCCTATGTTTCCCACACAGATGACCAGCCCAAGCCCACCATCACCACCCACCCAAAGACAACCACAGCTCTGCGGGGAGACAACGTCACCTTGCTCTGCGCCGTCACCAGTATCGCAGCTTCTCCCATGCACTTCGCATGGAAGCACGACAACAAGGTCGGTATTATTGAATAGAAATAGACTGTTAAGCTGCTCATATAAAAGACTGCTTTGTTATTAGAAAAAATACCAAAACTTGTGATTAGCCCCACTGGAAATAAATAACCAAGAACTGTTTGCATCGAGCGCCATGCAATGACATTGAGATAGATACCAGAGTGGTGCCAATGACAACTTCAAGGAAGCCGTACTCCTGCACCTGAGGAAACAATAACGACACAGCGCTCTACCCCTGTGTGTCTTACCCCAACAGAGGGTTCTCGAACAGTATCTTCTCAAGACAAGACAAGACTTAACACTTCTTGTAATCGTTGCCTACAGGTCATTGAGAACGCAGACATTGAGAACTATGCGACGATGGCCGACGGTAACATCGTGATGGAGTACACGTCCATCCTGAAGCTGTGGAACGTGGACGACTCGACGGAGGGCAGATACCAGTGTGTCATCTCCAACCACTTTGGCCCCCTGTACTCCAACAAGGCCAAGCTGACTGTGCATGGTGAGTTTGTTGGTTCAAAATAAGAGACAAACTAGGAAGAAAATGGTTACTCAAGCAACTGGTTTTCAAAACCTATCCAGTTGCTTTTGTAACATTTTCCTCGTGTATCTCATTACCTGGAGGTCTTTGACGTATCAAGTGATATAGATTGGTAAGATGTAGATACAAAAATCTAAGAAAGTAGGTTTGGTGCTATGGAAAAAATTATTGAAGGCAGAAAAAATATGCTAATGCATGAAAGACTTACGCTATTCATATTGTGCTTTTGCTGATAAGAGGGTATCTAATGCTCTTGACCACCTTGTTATTGTGTAAGATTTTCATCGGAGTGACAAGGTTTGTTTTTCTCTACCAGTGTTCCCCAAGTTCACCAACCCACCTCAGGACTTCACCGCTCGAGCCGACGGCACAGCGAAGCTCCAGTGTGCCGCGATCGGCCAGCCTGCGCCGCAGATCGCATGGCAGAAGGATGGGGGAACGGATTTCCCGGCGGCGAGGGAACGGCGGATGCACATGATGCCGGAAGACGACTTCTTCTTCATCGTGAAGGTGAAGACTTCCGACATGGGCGTCTACACGTGTACTGCCACCAACGATGCAGGGACCATCACAGCCAATGCAACCCTCACCGTACTAGGTAAGTACAGGAAATTCTTTGTATGCACATTTCTTGTAGCCTCTTCTTGGGATTCTCTCTCCTGGGATTATATTTTATGCATCCTTGTTAGTGTTTATGTATTTTAACTTATAATGTGCAATAGTGTATACTCTTGTGTACCTTTAAAGAAATGTACATTTTTTTGCAATTCAGTGACTTGTTGTTCACTGTAAAAGATCAATAAATGATTCTTGAGTCTTAAGTTCTCTTATTGTTTTGTATTGTATTTCTTTTCATTTAAGAGCCTGGGCAGATTTTTCCAAAAAGGGTTCCGAAGTAAAATGCATTGGTAGATGATTTTCAAGATTTTCACAACTGACACTTGCAACCCCTGTCCTACCCTGACAGAAACTCCCACCTTTGTGAGACCGTTGGAAGACACTGAGACCATGGAAGGGGAGACCACCGTGCTGGAGTGCCTGGCCGCGGGAAGCCCCCAGCCCTCCGTCAGCTGGAAGAAAGACGGCGACGAGGTACCGAAGACCAACCGCCACTTCCTCACAGCCAGCAACCAGCTCCTGATCATCATGCACACAGAGCCGGGAGACGCGGGGAGGTACGAGTGTGAGATGTCCAACACTGTCGGCACCAAGAGGGAGTCCGCAAGCTTAACTGTTGTACCAGGTGAGGATCTATTCCTTCAGTTCTGCCATGAATAGTTTCATCAGGTTGGTCAGTCACTGGAGTAGAGAGACTCTTTTTACACAACCGAGTCTTTTCTTCAGTTGATGTTTTGGTGACCGTCAGTGACGGTGCTGCAGTGCAATGTGAACTGAGTTGAAACAGAATTGCCCTGAGGAAGGTGACAGACGGTGTGTAAAAAGAGTTTCTTTACTCCTTCAGTTCTTTTTTTTGAAGATCAAAGCTTTCGTTGTGTGTAGTTGTTGTAATGGCTTTATACATAATTCAGTGTGGCTGGATATAAAATATTGATTCAAAGTCATGGTCGTCTTTGCAGGGCTAAAAATTCATTCTTTGCTTCACATAGTGGTGCTGTATAGTAGTATACATTTGACATCTTTACGTACGTAAACCTACGAAAATATTTGGGTGCACTGGTGCACAGCTCCAAATTTGGGTGCACCAGTATTTCGAGCTCTGTCTTTGCGAGGATTTTGTGTGTCTTGTTGCATGCGGAGTTCCGAGTGTTTCTAACGAAAGGTGTTAACCTAACCCATCAAATTGTCATAAAAATACTGAGAGAAAACCCTAAATATGAACATTTTGGGAGGGGTGCTAGGATTTTCGGGAGAGGGGGGAGGGAGCACCCTTGCTTCATTGCTCTGGGAGAGCCCTGCATAGTTGTAGATTTTGTCTGTCTTGTTGCATGCTGAGTTCCGAGTGTTTCTAACGAAAGGTGTTAACCCGACCCAAGTCCTGGCAAGCGAGGGGGTGGCCCAGGAGAGCACCACAACAGGCATCATCATCATCTCCGTGGTCTGCTGCGTGGTGGGGACGTCCCTCGTCTGGGTCATCATCATCTACCGCACGCGGGGCAACAAGGAGGAGTACAGCCAGACCAACACCGACGAGACCAACCTCCCGCCCGACATGCCCGGATCCAACTTCAGACTCTCCCAGGAGGGCGTGGATGGGGGTGGCCAGGACCCCGCAGCACAGCACGGACACCAGCCTCCCCATCCAGGCCCCCGCCTGCAACACCCCAGCGCTACAAACAGTTTAGGTTTGTTTGTTTGTTTTATTAGGATTTGATTTATTAAAATTGTGACAATATAATACATGTGGGACAAAGGCAGCTGTTGCTGGTGTTATGTCCCACACATTGAAACTAATACAGGACAGACAGACAATACTCATTTTCACTTGAGTTAAGTGAGGAAAATTCCTGTAAAGTGTCATTCCCAAGGGCACAAGATTAGTGGCATGTCAGGACTCGAACCTGGTACTTCTTCGTATCGAGTAGAGCACCCTGCTGTTACACCACAAGGATCTCCATTAGTGTTACAATTAATTTAACACTATTCTTTCTGGAGTCAGTACAATAGAAAACAGTCAAATAATGTAAAAGAACAAAACATTTACTATCAATAAGTAGTAGACAAAAGATAAACAGAGTTAGGGGCTGTCCGCCGCTGGCATGCTCTGTTTATTTTCGGACGGGATTATGGTCTTAATTTGTCAGGACTTGTTGTGGTGTTCCGGCCAGAGTGAATTTTGTGAGCGGCAGTTGTTTATATATCCTGAGATTTTGTGCTTCCTCTCTCGTGACCTTATCCGTGTATTGTTTGAAGACTTCGGTGATGACCTATGTCTCCACCATCTCACTTCTACAGACAAGTAATTCTAACGAAAGAGTAGAATGTTTGAAAATACGCTCACAAGAGTAACTTTAGTGAAAAACCCTCCAGACAACTTAATCTTGCTGAAAGGATGGACGGATGTTTTCTGTTGATGATTGAAATGGGATTTGAAGTTTGTTTATTTTGTTTATTAGTTCGGCTTACAACAGCCAGGGTTGCCCAACTAGTCATAGACTATTATTAAGGGTCAACCCTGGGAGAAAATATAGGTATACATACAACTACAATTAATAAGATACACAATGAAATTTACAAGAATATATACATACTTGGATCATACAATTATATACAAATTATCAGAACTACATTATACAATAATAGGGTTACTAATATTGGTAAGTTTCCTAGTATGTACATAGTTACCGAGGTAGTGATATTGACAAAGTATTGACAATGATAATGACAAAGATTTGACGTTCATGTGTTTTTCCTTTCCCCAGGGCGGAGAGCAGACAGCGGTAGTGACGCCGTGTCAGTAGAGGTCCCCTGTAGCAGATATCCCTCCAGGCTGCGCTCGGCGGCCATTTTCCCCAGTGATGCGCCGGAAACACAGTTGTCACCTTTAACACAACATGAGCAAGCTCTCGCAGAGCACTCAGGTTAGTAGAGTGCTCTCCCACTGTCGTTAAATTATAGCAAACATGTTTGTTCTGAGTTGGTAGTGATCCTCTAGTGAAATCCCATGAATTTAAAGAAAATAGTAACATGGAAATGTGTAAAAGTTTTGTTTAGTTCCCTAGAGATGTGTAAAAGTTCTGTATAATCGCTTGGAAATGTGTAAAAGTTTTTGTTTAGTTCCCTAGAAATGTATAAAAGTTCTTTGTAGTTCCCTAGAAATGTGCAAAAGTTCTGTATAATCGCTTGGAAGTGTGTAAAAGTTTTGTTTAGTTCCCTAGAAATGTATAATAAAAGTTCTTTGTAGTTCCCTAGAAATGTGTAAAAGTTCTGTGTAATCGCTTGGAAATGTGTAAAAGTTTTGTGTAGTCCACTGGAAGTGGGTAAAAGTTCTTTGTAGTTTCCTAGAAATGTGTGAAAGTTCTATATAATCGCTTGGAAATGTGTAAAAGTTTTGTGTAGTCAACTGGAAATGGGTAAAAGTTCCTTGTAGTTCCCTAGAAATGTGTAAAAGCTCTTGTGTAGTCTCCTGTGATAAAAAGAACTAAAACTAACACATGAAAAACATTTTTATTCCTTCCTCTGCAGGTAACAGTATTACTTCTATCCCCCTGCCCGAAGAGGTGGCGAACAGCCAAGGGGACGTCAACCAGAACACGACGACACACAGTCCGCTGCGGACGTTCCGACCGATCCACTCGCCGAGCGGGGAGGAGAACGAGGCACAGCTGCAGGAGAAGGGCGGCGTGGAGCGCTACCACCACCCCTCAGGGTCATCAGGTCAGTACTGCTTCCTATGTTTACCGAAGGAAAACATATTGTTTTTGCTCTGTTTCTTCTTCTTCTTCCATTCCAAACACTGACCTGGTCAATGACTTGTACCAGACCGTCTGTTACCATGGTAATTGGTGTTGGGTTATGTAATGTTGCAATTTTATAGTAGGAGGGATTTAGACTCCCGTCACCATGTATGTGATTGTGTTCGAGTAAGAATTAACAGAGCAGACCATATGCAAAGGTAAACATTATGTAGTTTTATCTGCTCTGTGTATCAACTTATCTGCTCTGTCAAGGTTTTTTTTTTTATTGATCAAAGAAAGAATACAAGGACAATGTAATTCATGTTTAGATTTCAATGAACATGTCAATGCCAATATCAGTAAAGCTAAACCTAAATCTGAATCTGACTCAGGGTCCTCGTCTTCGCCTGAGGAGAGGAGACGACACCACCACCACCGGTCACGAGACCGCCTGGTACCGGACCTGTACCACCGCGCTGAGCCGCCCGGCAGCGATGACATGGACGTGGAGAGCGAGGCACAAACATATAGCTCGTCGTTGTCAAGTAATAGTTCCCAAGGCTTGCCAAGGTTTCCTAAAGGTGAGAAACGTTCACTGTTTGAAATGCTAGCTTTAAGTGCCGAGTTCTAGTATTCTGATGCAATACCTGTACTGAAAGAAACTCAAGAAATAAGAGGCACAAACATATAGCTCGTCGTTGTCAAGTAATAGTTCCCAAGGCTTGCTAAGGTTTCCTAAAGGTGAGGGATTTTTTTTTGCACAGTGCAAGCCCACAATAACAACTGAACTAACGGTCACTAGAGCAGCATGTCTTCTTCCTAAGAAGCTTAGGCAATATTCTTTGACTCTTCAAAATGCTAGCTTTAAATGTTGATGAGTTCTGGTATCATGGTAAATCCAAATACAGTATCCAATCATATAGGGTTTACAGTGCCGGTAATGCATAAAATACAGTAAATGTGACTTTATGACATCAACACACTCTTGCACGAGTAACAAGTCTCTTAAAACTTAATAACATTTGTTTTTTTTATGATGACTGTCTGAATAAACGGTCTTGTATTTCTTGTGTTCCAGACGTCCAGTCAGAATTCAACCCCCCTCCCTCCCCCCTCACGAGATCGAGGTCGTCGCCGATAGCTGCAGTGGTGCCCCCCCACCAGTCTCCTGTATATAGATACCCCTACCAGCAACACAGCAGCGGCGCGTCACAATACAACAACCCAACAGAAGCCTTCCCAAGCAGTAAAAGTCTAATTCTCACAATGAATAACCACAGAATAGGCCGAGATGTGACGTTGTAAAGTGTACATAACTTATTGTAATGTAATAATGATTTCCCTGTAAACTTCCCCCCCTGCTTGTAACTTGTATGAAAATTTCCTTTTATGTTGTTTGTAATGTAATATATGTATATTGATACGTGCTAATCTATTTTATGAAAAGACGGGTAACTTGCTCCCAAGGTGGCATTATCCGTTGTTGCAAAACTGGGATGTGTTGTCATTTTTTGTGGAATATATTTTAGTGATGTCAGAGAGAAAAGAAAAGCTTTTACTCTGTGGATAAGCTTTTTGCCTCCCTAGGAGGTACTCCACTGTGTATATGTGACGTCAAAGAGATTTTTATTTCCTGTTTTTAGCCCTGGCTAGTATTTTATTTTGTACATGTAGAAGAGGCTGGCTTCTGCCATTGCCGAGAGCTTGCAAAACAATGCTGGATGTAGTGATACACTAGAAGCTTTAGCAGACTATTTGTGTTCTGGTTGCCTTATTTTCTTTTCTACAAATGTTGCGGAAACAGTGCTTTATGGAGTCTTGGCAGAGCAAAACAAAAAAAATTGAAAGAGAGCAACAATGGAAGGTCCGAAGCAGCAAATCCCACAAATGTGTTACAAATTTGTTTCACGAGGGACGCAACAATGGTGCCTTCGTGCCTTTAAAGGCTTTAACACTGATTTTTACAATGCAGTAATTGTACTTTGTTTTATCCTGTTTAAAGAGATGATTTCTTGAAATAGTGTGCCAGAAGTGAGAGAGGAATTCTAAACAATGACGAATCAATGTCGGAATTTTGCAGGGTCAGAGAGTACGCGGCGACAAATTCAATTTGTCTGCTGCAAGGAGAAAGAAAAATCCAAGCTGAGAGGAAAAACATGTTTTCAGCGTAAAAACTAAATTTTTTGGTACCAACTAGTTAAGGGACATCATGTAGTAATAATTCGAAGTACTCAGTATTTAGCAATGTAAGTGAAATTCTCTAAAACGGTAGTTGAATGATGATGTAGTTGAAATCTCACCAAGTGATGCTTGTATGTTACTGTTGGTAGATGCAGTGGTCTTTCAGATCACACTCTGTTCTGTACCGATCTCTGCCTCCCCAGCTTGGGTTTAAAGGAAAGCTGCGGCCTCTTATTTACATAGAATGATGATGATGATGATGAATTGATGATGCATGCTGGGTGTAACACTTGATGTATATGATGTAGTAACAAGGTGTGTGCTTGTTAACCAACCGTACCACACGCTAAAACAACCTGTTAGACTAATGTTTAATGATGAAATCACGGTGATGTTGAGACAGTTTCGCCCTTATTTCCGAATATGGACAAGACGTTACCCTATTTCCCGACATCCTCTGTTCCCAACTACCTCAGCTGTTTAAGGCAGAGGACTGTGGGACTTGGGTAACCCACCTGGCAGTGTGGTATGGTTGTGTAACATTGTTGGATGGAAATTTTGTGAAAAGTGCTCCAAGATGGCCGTTCTCCCACTGCACTGTCCCAATAGCAAAGCCCTTCTCTGTGTAGCAAAAACAAATACATCGCAAATGCCTTGTAGCAAGCAAAATGCAACATTACCGAGCAAAGGAAACCATAGCAAATTGTGGCAACGAAAACTGTTACGTTGTCACAACACCAGGGCCATCCGGGAGTGCTTAGCGGGACGGCAGCCCATTTCACACTCACAGTATTTGTGATAGTCGTGCGCATCATACATGTAGTCATGTCCCTTTGCTTCCCCATCCATTTTTCCCCAGCTCGGTACTTGCAAAGCCAGTGCCTCTTGCCACGCGCACGCACGCACGCGCGTGTGTGGCAGACACAGGGCCGAGCAGGTACGGTGTCACCATGCAGTGGGTCGAGTTACGACCCGGGTGGGACTTGCAGGGCACGGCAATACCTCGTGCCGTACTGGTGCTAGTACGCTTGTGTAGAATGCCGATAACAGGGTTGATAGAGATTATTAATATTAATATTATTAAAAAAGAGAAGTATGTGAAGAAAGGATTACGTACGGTATGCCCTGCCCTGAGAGTCCCACCCTAGGAATGTGAGAGTTATTTTTATAGGCAGGCCTATCCACCCATGTTGTGTACATACATGTATCCATTGTCACTGTTCATTAACAAGACAAGCAAACCCTAATGTCATATTTATTGTATACATCTTTAACATGTGTGATGTCTACAAATGGACATTCAAAATTTATTTGTATAGCATCTCAAGAAGTATTAAAAAATGGTCCTCATGTTGAAATGCTATTTGTTGTGTGATCCATCTGTCTGGTGTAGTTTATAGTATAATAGTATGTGATAAAGATAGTATGTGATATGCATGCCAAGGGATGTCGGACACTTCGGCACCTGGACACTTCGGCACTTGGACACTTCGGCATCAGGACAGTTCGGCACCTGTACACTTCGGCACCTGCACACTCCGGCACCTGGACAGTTCGGCACCAAGCTCAGGAAGCTTAAGGTTCGGCACTAAGACGACAGAATGTTACTGTTGATTGCTGAACCGTTCTATGACTTCCAGCGAAGATAGTTATTATGTCAAAAAAAGCAAGGAGTGAATAAGCCATCCAATATGTTATGCAGAACAGATACCCAATCCTGTTATATTCCATCATTGTGGCTAATAAATGAAAACAAACTTTGAAAGTTGTAACAGGAAAGACATATTAAGGTTATAGTATGTCCCTGTTTAATGCTATTTTGATGCAATATTCATCTTTGTAGACTGTTTACCATTAATGTTTTGACGTTTTTTCCCGCCCGTGGACACCTCCCTAGCAACAGTAACTAACAACACTGGGACCACAACACTGCCTCTTCCATATTGCTTTTATTGTTGTACAACAAAGTCGTTGCGTACTCGGACGTAGTAGTTAAAGAAAAGATATGGGATAGTATGACTTTCGTGAAAGGGTCAGGTAGATTAAGCACCGTTTCACAGTAATGTATCGGGCTGTCCAGGTGCCGAGCCGTCCTGTCGGCCGGGTTCCGAACCATCCTGGGTCAGGTGCCGAACCGTCCTGGGCAAGGTACCTAGCCGTTTTGGGCCAGGTGCCGAACCGTCCTATATGGTGCCGAAGTGTCCAGGTGCCGAAGTGTCCAGGTGCCGAAATGTCCTGATACCCATGCCAAGGATACCAGGGTTATACAGTAAATTTTAGATACAAATGATAGTCTTCTGAGACTGAACTGCCAAACAAGAAGAACAACAGTAAATTAGCTAATTACTTGTACTTTATTGGGTCTCCTCGGCTTATTAGCTAATAGTAACCACCACGAAATTATGAATCTCAAGAAAAGTAGTAAGATTGTGGACTGGTTTAGCTGTTAGTATAGTACCTGGATGTAAAAGCGGTCACTCTGAGTCAGGAAAGATCGGGAAGATCCTACCCAGTACCTATAAAGTTATCCTGTGACTGTGTTACATATTCAATTGCTCACTGGCTAGTCAATGCTGCTAGGAGAGTGATTTAGGCTACTTTAGAATCAAATATAAAATGTAAAATTCTGGAAGAAGCTGGGATACCATTCAGATTCAGGCATGCTCTATCCAAGGACATACATACACTATATATTATAATGTCCTTGCTATATCCACTGATATAATAAACCACTTGTGATCTCTCAATATCAGCACAAGACGTTTTACCCAGCCCCACCCTATTACATCTCAGTACAGTCTAGACAATATCCTTCAGTGCGTTTCGTCTGATAAGCAACATACTCGCTGAGGTTAGAAGAGCAACTTCTAGAAAACATACGCTGAACATAAAAGTTTCCTGATTCCACGGTACTAAAACGCCATCTAGGGACTAATGATGTAACTACAGAAATGCATCGAGGGAAGAAGTTCATGACCTTTATATTAGATTAGCCTCTACCAGGCTTCGGGAGGCGGCAGGAAAGAGTAGAAATTGGCCAAATAGAGAGACATAACATGCCGAGGGAGTTGGTCCGCTAGAGAGTACATTTTGCCGAAAAATGTTCTCTCTCTCTTTCATTCGTGAAAGCTCTATCACAATCCCTATAACGTGTTAACCTCCTTGTCATAATAGTTGTATTTTCATCCGCCTTCTTAGCCTCTCCGAGGTTTAAATTAGTAGTCTCTGTAAAATCAGATTACCACCTTCATAGTAATTAGAAAGGGCAGTGTGTTGCACACCTGTGTAAAAGCATGGTTGGTCTGTTCAAAATGGCGGTTTCGTCGGAAAGGGGATACTCTTGGATGTTTTTTTTTAACTTTCCAAGTACTTTTTCGAGTTTTGTTAGGTAGGGTGCTTCCATCTTAAAGTGTCTATCAGAACGTTGGAGTATTTCTGTTGCGGATCGCTCTCACGATGTTTTTGAAGAGAAAAGGCAGATTTCCTGACTTGGCGAATTTCGGAGAAGACAAGATGACGGTTAGCCTGGGTGCCAGAACGACGTACACAGTTACAAACCCGATGGCACCAAGCCTAGATGACTGGATACTCCCGTTTCAACTAGGACATGACAGAAACTGAAAATGTCGAAGCAAACGTTTCCAGTGGCCCATCTTCGTAGCAGCATAAAAGCGACGACTAGCGGGACCCAGCAGCAATGCAAACAGGTAAGCAAACCACTCAATTGGTTTATTTGCACTCCGATTTAAAAAAGAGCGGAGTCGAGTTATGTCGCTTTATTTTATATCTTAGGCATCTTTGCCTTATTTGCATGAAGTTGCATAAAGGCCCATAGACATCGACCCACATGATCAGGAGACATCAAGGTACATATGATTTTATGGTACTGGTGTACAGGTTGAGCTTCGTTTGCCTAGGCCTCTTTTGAGAATTTCAATGACTAACGAAGAAAGCATCACTTATTACATAACATGACGTCCCATTGTTTTGTTCGCGAAATGTCTGAAACGTCGTCAGTCAGTGAATTTTTTCTTAAAGTTAAAGTGAATTAGGCCTCAAATACCCAAACCTTTCCGAGCCTTTTGCGATTTCCCCATACCCCAAAACACTTAGGGAATAACTGCTAAAAGATTACAAATTACGTTGCATTTTACACCTTCCTAATGGTACACATTGAGTTTGTCCATTTCGTCACACTTCTCACGCTTGAAGTTTTCCAGCAAGTTATTTTCAGGAGTCGTGACGTTCAGTCTGTAGAAATGTCCGTTTGCACCGTACTTCGGCCAGTTGAGGACCTTCGGTCGGTTGTTGTTTGTAGAGTTGATGTTGTTGTTGTTGTCGAGATCGGGTGGTGTGTTTGGGTCACCCGTGTGTGCGAAGTTGCCGTAGTGGAACACTATGGTGTCCGCCATGCGTTGTTCGTCGGGGGTGAAGGTTAGATTTGCCAGAGGGGGTGTTTGAAATACAAACGGAATGTCCCCACCATGACACACGTGGCCGTTACAAAACTTAAACTCGTCCCACAGATGTTTAAAGGACCAGGCGTGGTCGAATAGATAAAGCCAAACGTCTGTAACGTACTTTCCAGCAGCGCTCCGTGCAACTTTACGGGTCGGACACGTAAAGATCCAGTCCGTTGCGATCTCAGATAGAATCACGCGATAGTCTGGGGACGTTTGGGGCTTGTACGTCGCTAGAATCGGTATGGCCTTCTCTTGGACAAAGGTCGCGACGATTTCGTCGAGTTTGAGTTTGCTGGTGATGTTCTGAGTGTAAGCCTGGTAGACGTAGAATATGTTTTCTTCCCACGTAGTTCCTATGATAAACGGCTTCTTCTGGAATCGTCCTTCCACGAAGCTATCCACCGTTGGAGCGGGCACCACGTCGAAATCTACAGAAGGCCCCCATTGCATGAAGCTCTCTATGGGTTTCAGCGGGTTGATAATGTGAGTAAAAGCCTTTTCTTGAGCGTCAACTACATCGTCTGGTTTCTTGGACCGGAGACAAGTCATGTCCGTGAGCGAACAGTTCAGTTGTTCGGCAAAGTACTTCCCGAGTCGAAGCGCCTCCTTGCGGGTTTTGTGGGGAATGGAGAACGGCACGCTCATCATGATGGCCCGTGCGAACAGGTCCGCTGTTCTGTTGGAGGTCAGGTGTGTGGCGACCGAATCTGACCCCGCGCTCTGGCCGAATATAGTGACCTTGTCCTTATCGCCTCCAAAGCTACCGATGTTCTTCTGCACCCATTTCAACGCCTCTACCTGGTCCAACAGCCCAGCATTGCCTTTTGCGTCGTCTTCTCCTTCTCCAGTCACCAGGAAGCCGAACGCCCCTAGTCTGTAGTTGATAGTGACGACGACAGTCTGGGTTTTGTCAGCGAGAAATCGTCCGTCGTACACCATGGCAGAGCCGGTACCAACGCGGTAGTTCCCACCGTGAATCCACAGCAAGACAGGCAGCGGTTTCGCGGTGGAGTTCAGAACACCGTCAGGCACGAAGACGTTGAGATACAGGCAGTCTTCGCTCTGCGTTCTGTTCGCATCCCGATTGCAGGTGTGTTGGACGTCGCTGGAGGTAGGGCCGCATCCTGGCTGGCGACAGGCGGGCCCCGGTTGGGTACCGTCGCGGACTGAGGGCGCCCAGGACGCGGTGTATGGTTGAGGGGGCTTCCAGCGGAGTTGGCCTACGGGGGGAACCGCGAAGGGGAGACCGAGAAAGATCCCTCCTTCCTCCACGGACATGCCTTGGACAGCGCCGAACTGCGTCTGAACAGTCGGGCCATCTTCTTGGACTGGGTAGCCAAAACAGACATCCAGAAGTAATATACCCAGGACTAGGGTTTGGACAACTCTTCGTGAAGCCATCGTGCCCTTATGATCTCAAGGGAATGCATGGGAGTGCAAACAAATAGGTTTATATATATAACGCTATCTTAAGACTTTGGACTTTCAGCTTCTGATATCAGCCGAACAAATGATTGTTTACGCACTGATAGTGACATGGACAGCAGTCATATGATCAATCAGACAGTGGACTCTACTTAATTATTATACAAACAGGTTTTCGTTTTTTTCGTTCTAAATTACGACAATATGTCATTTTGTTCGTTTACTTTTTGTAACAGTTGAGTAAATCTTGGATAGACTGCTACAATATTTGATCATATATATTTAGGTCAGGTTACTCGGGTAACCGCCCTTAAGATCGAAGGTCATCACCTTTACGGTCGATTTGTGGAAGACTGTGGTTCGTAACGTCGTCAACAATTTTAGAGCCTGTACATGGGGCATCTACTATGGCGGGTATCAGCCATCAGCAACTAGAGACACTGGCAATTGACCGGGCCGGATGGCGTGCGGTGGTGAGAAAGAGTGCCGAGGCTGTGCACAGGGAGTGGGAACATAGAGAGGACAAACGTGCGAGCCGACGACACGCCGCCACTGCTACCAAGCAGGCCTCATGAACAATGAATGAACTCTAATATTATATTAGTCTTTGGACTTTTATTTTTTTGTAACATGACTTTAGGCTCAAATCTGTTTTGTCTTGCACATGTAGATAGGAATGAGCCATCCTGTTCGACCTGCGCAGTTAGTCATAGTCTCTAGAGAGACTGACTGACATACTAGTAGATAGATATAGATAGATAGATAGACATGGGGCATCTACTAGCTATAGTATCATGCTTTGTGCTCATCAGCTTCTTATGGTTTCGGGTCTGCAGCATAAGGGTTTTTCTATCTCATGATATACACATGCAATATATGGTTCTATTTTTAGTGTGGCAGATAGCTTGAAGAAAGTTTGAGCCTTCAAGCATCTTTTTGCCAGAGACTTCGAAATAGGATAACTCAAGAAGGGATAAATGTACAGAGTATAAACAATTGGCTTAGAGCAAGATAACTGTTCAATAGTCGTGGACATTACTCCATTGTATATTTCTTCCTAAATCAACATGACTTTAGAATAACTATCACACACGGACACAAAACAAGGGATGATCTGTATATTGTTACATACTGCAAAGATTTTAATGTTCTTGGTGATATTAAAAGGTTCAAGAAACTTGTAAACCTACACAACTTGCAGTTCAAGTGGCAGATAAGCGACGAATGCTTTATTGGCGTAATACCCGCCGGGGAAGGCTGACAACCCCTGCACCCAAGTCTGCGCCTCTAGGCTATAACAAGACAAGTCATCGCTGTTTAACACGTAGATCGTCCCGTCCATTTCTGTACACCCCTTCTCAAACTCCACAGCCTCTGTGGCCGCGGGGTGGGCGGCCAGGACGGACCACTGCTTCGTGGTGACATTGAAGCAGTCTACTCCGGGAACGAGACCGCCCAGAAGGTAGATGGTTTCGCCCACCGCGACCATGCTGTGCTTGTCCCGTTTTCTGGGCAGGGGAGACAGAATTACCCACTGGTTGATGTTGGATATATACTTGAGAAGTGCAAACGCTCCCGTCCCTTCCTCTTCCGAGTTGATGTAGATGTCACCCTTGCAGACGACGGCTAGATCGTAGTTAGTCCAGTCTCCGGGCAGAGGCCTTCTGAACTCCCACCTGAAAGATACAAAAACATTATCTCCAAGCAGATCCCTTTCGATGGCAAAAAGACAGTATCAGATTGGCCAGGCAGTATCCATTAGCCAGAGAAGATCGCCGGCCACCGACGGTGGGGGTAGCGACAAAAAAGCGGCCATATATAAAAAGCTAACGATCATTCCCCACAACCTCTGCTTTGAGTGTAACAAACACAGTGCTGTCCCGTACATGACGCGCTTGATTAATAACTAATACTTACTTTGGATACCTCCCTTATCAAATGTTGTAACTTACAAGGGACTTTGTCGGAGTTTATATGTCTCGTTGATACCTTCATTTGTAATGTGAGTTTTTAAATGTGAGATCTACTTCTATATGATATGATATGATATGATGTGATGACCTGTTACCTTTATATTTTAAATTATGCTGTTGTTCTAGTATTGTTAATTCTGAGCTGGATACATTTATTTCGTTTGTAAATGTCATCACCCCAATTCAGCCTCTGGGCTGCGAGAAGTGTTTGACGTGCGAGAGTGTAACCTGTAATACATGTATAAACAAATAAACCATTACTAAACCTGTCCTGTTCTGGAATGTATCTCTCCATGGTTTTTACCGTGTAGTCGTACTGGAACCCACCGATGGCGTAGACAGACCTGTCGTGAACCACGGTTCCGAAGTAAGCCCTGGCTTCGCCGAGGGAACGTATCTGGAACCATGTGTTCTTGATGGGATCGTAGCAGAAGGATTCCGACAGCACGTCCCGGACGGCTATCCCGGACGGATGCCCGAATCGCGGTTTGCCGTAACCCCCGATGACGTAGATGTAGTTGTCCAGCACGGCCACGCCCCACCCCCTCGCACACGCCTGCTCAGGCTTTTCTGTGAAGGTCTTCCACGCATCCTGGAAGTAGAGGAGTTGTGTTAACTGCTCTCTATTGACATTTGAATGTACAGCAGTGTCTGTTTCTAAACAGAATAGATAATTCAGGAAGTTGTGAATGGAGTTCGGGATTGAGAGGTACAAAGTATGTGTGTTGGAATCACATTGAATCACAACTATCGGGAATGCAAGATATACTATATCTCGATATTGATAAAAAAGAAATGCTTTACATGGTCTTATAAGGGTAAATCTTAGTCCTGAGACATCTTGATTTCAGGTGATGTTTAAAACTTACCTTGCAGTGATCGTAGTACATGAACTCCCTCGGCCCTGGCTCGGGCCACGTGATATACCCGGTATTCACACCACACAAGAACTTCTGGTGTCTGAAGCGCGTCTTCCGAACCTCTTCTCGCTGTTCCTCCCTCAGCTCTTCGAAAACTTCCGAGCAAAGAAACTTGAGATAGTTGTCGCCCATGAGCTGTGCTGCAGCCTCCCTCAGATCGCTGATCGCGTAGGTATCAGCCAGCATGTACAGATGGGCACAGTTCTCACAGCTGAGTTTACTCTTGATATAGTCCAGAACTGGCCGCATCTGGAGAAACTGTGCCATCTCGAGAACACAGTGTAGTTTATCGTCCCTTTTGATCGGCTTGGATTCGTACAGAAAGTCCAGAACGATCTGAAACGCTTCAGGCGTAAATCCTTGAAGTTGGACGGAGTTTTCCCGGCTTTCTCTCATGCCGCTCTCCAACATGGCGCGGAAATAGTCGGACGTCTCCATCAGGACTTTTTTGTGGACCTGAAATACGCAGTCCTGAACCTTGACCTCCAGGTCAGGGTTACCGTGAACGTGATTGTACTCCTCTGATGCGAGACTCTTTCGATGTCGTCGCCATTGGGTGTTTCTGTGTACAGTCAGACATACGTATGCGTTAATCTATCAAACAAATGTTCAACAGTCTCTTTACAAGAAACGCCACAAAAATCTAAAGATAGGCTCGAAGTTGGCTGCCACAGATTACGTGTACGACAGGCCATCTCTTTGGTTGTGCCAATAAATTCACAAAAACTCATAATTACTTCTCGGAGTTCTGAAATCCCCGACATTTTGTTGAAGTTGGTTTCTCCTGAACAACCATTGAAAACGTCTGAAGCGCTATCAACCACTTCATAACAACCATAATACCACTGTCAAGTGGTTCTATTTTTGGGAGGGCGGGTTGCAAAATAGAAAGGAACACAAACGTTGGGAGTGTGTTCCTGTTCATTGGCAGGAATTATGAATTGATAAACAGCAGATGATGTGTCATACATATGCACCAATTGAGGGATATGATGTATAAGGGTTAAAACCAAACCTTTGTTGGTGTCTGGACGTCTGTAGGAGGTTACGGAGTTAGCCCCTGGATCCAAAAATAAAGGTCAGATAGTCAGTGCCAAAACGGGAGCACTGACAGTGCATCATGAGGTCAAGTTCGGCATTGAATTCGCTACGAGACGCTATGCAGCTGTATTTACGAGACTATAACGCGTAGATAGGAGTTAAAAGTCTGTCATAGGTTAATACAGAGTGTAATCTATCCAATTGGGGATACTGAATGATGTATTTATTCTAAAGACTGTAGTTATTGAATGGTCAATTGACCACGATTCGCCGTTACGCTAGTGTGCTTGTAGTATACGTCACTATGAGTGCTGAATATTCATTTTATCATTAAATCTGTAGACAACAACAAAAAGCCGGTTGTATTCTCTACACATTGCCAGTTTATTTATATCTTTTAAGTCATTGACCGTTGTTATATCGTCAGTATTTTTGTCTCGCCTATTGTCTTCAATTCCTACATTCCTGACATTTCTCCCGGATGTTATCCCGCATGACCAGAGTGTTTACAGTGGATTTCTAATTTCCTGTCTGGTCTAGATATGAAATATACAACTAGGTCAGTCTGCTGAACTCATGAATTGTCGCATGCGTCTGGTTTGTGAATCGCTGTTTATTTTCTTTTGCTAAAAATATAACATCCGCATTTGCTATGTAACGACATCAGTGTCGTACAGCTCACCAATAGAGTTCATAAAACGTTTGTTATGAGTAGCCCAACGTTGTGAATCCGATTGCTCCATTTTGTCTGCTAACACAACTTTCTTCCACATTTTAATACAGTTATGCATGTCTATAACACAAGGGTGGTGACAAAACACCAGACTAAATTTTCCCCCATGTTTCAGCAGTAGATTGCTGTTCATCATGTGTGTTGATATCATGATATGATATATTGAACATGGGGATATTTCATTCAAATCCACGTACAAAGTACGCTATTTTATTACCGATATACATCTATATACAGCAATACGTAAATCTTATACTTCGTATGAATAAACAACACTTAGTTGTATGTATGTACAATCTGTTTTTGTAAACTTTGTAAATTGTAAAATAAGCACCCAAACACTTGAATAGGTCAAATTCACTACAAAATGCAATGCTAAAAGAGACCACTATCATTTTCATTCTTGAACACGGTGGATGAGGCGTACCAAGTACTACCGACCTTGCTTAACCCTCATTGGTGTGTTCATAACCACTAGTAACCAGACGGTTTGCATGATGGGGTGTCTTTGCTGGGTTGGTCAGTACTAGTTGCACTTTGCTCATGAGAGTCTACGGGGCTGTATTTTCCGGATGGTCCTCAGGCACTATCGCACATGCCGCCATCTCCGGCATCGCCGTTCTTGGACGGCTCTTCCTCACTAACGGCCTCTTTGGCATCGGAAGGCTCAACAGTACTACAGCGTTTTTCGGCATCGGCGTTTTCTGAAGGCTCTACAGCACTACAGATGTCCTCAGCACCGGTATTTTCGGAAAGTCCTTCAAGCACTACCGGTGATTTCGGTATCGTCATTTTCGGCATGGCCTTCAGCAGTACCGGTGTCTTCCGCACCTGCATTTTCGGAAGGCTCTTCAGTACCAAGGGCATCTTCTGCATCACCGTCTTCGGAAGGCAACTGAACAGTACCGGTGTTTTCGTCATCGTCGTTTCTGGAAGGCTCTTCAGCACTACCGGTGTTTTCAGTATCGTCGTTGCCCGAAGGCCCTTCAGCACTATTCGACATGATCCCGTCTTCGGCACCGCCATTTCCGGAAGGCCCGTCAGCACTACCGGATACACCGACGTCTTCGGCAGTATCGCCGCTTCCGTCAAGCCCTTCGGCTCTGCCGGTGCTTTCGGCCGCGTCATTTTCAGCATGTCCTTCAGTACAAGGGACGCCTTTGGCACCTCCGTCTCCATCATTACCAGACATACCGGCGTCTCTCGAAGGCCCTTCAGCACCAAGGGCGTTTTCGGCATCTCCGTTTCCGGATGGCCCCGTAGGTTTACCGGACATACCAAAGTCTTCGAAAGGTCTTTCAGCATTAAGGGTGTCGTCGGCACCGCCGTTTTCGGAAGGCGTTTCGGTACTAGTCTCGGAAATACTGCTATTTTCGGTATCGCCGTCTCCGGAAGGCCCTTCACCTGTATCAGACATTAAGCCGCCTTCAGTATCCCCGTTTTCGGACTTACCGGCGTCCACAGAAAGTCCTCCAGCACTAATACCGGAAATACTGCTATTTTCGGTATCGCCCTCTCCGGAAGGCGCTTCAGTACCACTAGACATGCTGCCGTCCTCTGGACCGTCATTTTCAGCTATCGTGTACAGTCCGTGTGGACTGTTTTCGCAGATTTTAGTCGAGTAGTGCGGGTTGCACTTCCGTGAGTTCTTGTTGTGGACAGACGCGCGTGGGGAATGGGGAAGGTACGCCGAAGAAGTGGCGTCATCTCGGATCTCTTCGTACTCATTATCGGGACGTGCGTCTAAGCGAGGAGATACACAGTCTTCGTCTTTTATAGTTGCATACTCGTGATCACTCGCGTCGGCAGTTTGTTGTTCATTGCCATCGCCAGTGCCTTGTTGAGGAGCATTAGCATCGTCCGTGTGTCCACAGCAGAGCTTTGCGACGAGCAGATATCCCCACAGGACGGCAAGAGCGGCCGCACACACCACTGAAATCACGATGTACAGTCCTCCATAACCGGTACCGCTGTCTGCTGGTCCATCGAGCAGCACGCTGAGCACCACAGTAGTTGCTGAAGCCGTCATCATCACCTCTGTTCCCCAGGTTGTATCCTGCAGTTTTCCCGTATTTAAAGTTTCGAGTGAGGGGTCTTCGACGACCGATATGACTGCCGAGGCGGTGGCGTCGTGCATTGAGAATGAATCTCGTGGGGCCGACGCCACACATCGGACGGTCTGGTTGTTCCACTGCGCTGCCCGGCTCTGTCCGATGACAAGAACGGACGTCGTCTTTCCGGCAAAGTTAGGACCACAGGTTGCGTTGTAGCTGTAGACTGACCCACTGCGTTCTGGTGCTTCGCAAGGAGTCGTCCAGCCTTCAAGGCTCACGTTGTGTTCGACACGGGTGGTGATGTTTTCGAGGTGTGACCGTGAGCTTGTTTCCTCGTATCGCCCGGGTGCGTGTACCGTCAGAACCAGCGAGCCGGGGAGGCGCCAGGATATGTGCGATTCCTCCTCCCAGAGAACTTCGCACGCGAAGGCTTGTTCACTGCCATTTTGAGCCGACACGGTGACCCTCGGAGGCGGACACGGCCGAAGCCCGTGCAGCAGCGCGTCCGTAATCTCCTCGCCTTTCAGTTCGGGCGGAAACTGGCAGACTGCGCCGCCGTCGGCTTGTCGGACCGGCGACTGTATGGACAAATATTCAGGAATCCAGGAGGGCAAACACTCGCAGCGAAACGGGTTGTTAGACATCGATAGCCTCAGCCGTAAGTTTTCTATTCCAGTCGACCAACCCCCTGCGAGAACGGTTAACCGGTTTCCCGACAAAAGAAGCGCCATCAGATATGTGAACGGCTTGAATGTCCCTGGCTCAATGGCTTCTATCTTGTTGTGTTGCAGGTCGATGAACTCGAGCGCCGACAGTCCCTCGAAGTAATCCTTTTCTAGACGGGTGAGCTGATTGTTGGCGAGTACTAAGACCGACAGAGCCGTCAGATTTAGGAAAGTTCCGGCCTCTATCTGAGCGATGCGGTTGCTGTCTAAACGAAGGTTTTCCAGGGAATGCAGGTCGTTGAACCGCCCAGGCGCGAGAAGGGATAGCTTGTTGCCGCTGATAGTGAGGGTGTTTAGGCGCGGGGTGTTGTTAAATGTGCCCGGCTCGATTGAATGGACAGTTCCGTTGATCACAAGCAGGTACCTGAGTTTCGGTAGGTTGGCGAAGAGAGCTCCCGTCAGGCGAGAGACCTGGAGATCCGAAAATCTGAGAATGTCGATGTTCAATGGCAGTTGGCAAGGTGGAAATCCGTTGTTTTCAGACTCAATGTTCTCACAGAACACACAGCCAGAGAAGAGGTTTCTTGCAGAAACGGTCGGGTCAACTTGTAAATCGACGCCGTTGCATCGTCCAAACACGACGAAGGGGTCGTAGATGCATTTTCCGGAACAAAACTTTTTGCCTGCCCGGAACGTAGTAGTATTAGTAGTACACGACAGCAGAAGTACGAAAAGACGCAGCACGACTTGTGGTCCAGCCATCGTCAGTAGGCTGGCTGGTTCTTCTTGAGAATTCAGAATTGGAGCAAGTAGAGAAGGGTTCGTCCAAAACGGATGCGCATTCACGCTCAATCGTTCAAAGACGAGCGATGAAATGGAGAGCAAATTTGGATGTTCTCCATCACTCACGCGTATTCTGGGAGTAACATACAAGATGCCCGTGTCACTAGAACCACTGCCTGCGATCCAAATGTCTCTAGCTATTCTCGGCTTTCACGTGACGCCACGGGACATTTGCATATGGGCGTGCGTCACAGAAGAAAAAAGACAGGAGATTACATGTCGCCCCCTGCGGTGGTCCGGATATGTTGAATATTAAGGCTATGTGGCAGATTGGTCTGGCTTCGACCGGGAATAATTTCAGAAGTATGCTACTGAGAGGATATGAACGATTTTGCATTTTTACTCCGAAATGTGGACAGGCTTGCTTCATTTCTCCACAGGTCTCCAATTCTTGTTGATTTGTGTCCGTTTTTTGACCTAGTGTTATGGATTTGCAACGAAATTTACGAGAAAGTGAAAATATGTGTATGAAAACGAGAGAGAAAGAGAGAGAGAGAGAGAGAGAGAGATGGCAGCTCTAGACGAACGACGTATTCACAGGTGGAATTTAGAGAATGAAGAAATTGGAACGTTGTCTCTCCTTGACATCTGGCTTAAGGAAAAGTATTGGGGCAGCTGGAATGTAGAAATACCCAGACAAATTGAGTTATGAATCGCTTTTGCAAGCAAGGTCTCTGCTATTTGTGGGGTCGTGTGGCGTAACCGCGGAGTGCTCGACTCGGAACCAAGAGGTCCCGGATTCGAGTCCCAACATGCCACCGGTCTTGTGCCCTTGGGAAAAGCACTTTACACGACTTTCCTCACTTAAGTGAAAATGAGTACTATACTCCATATCTATACGTTCAGCAATTTGCATGTTTGCTGTTATATGCACAATGTTTACATATACATGTTCGTCTCCTGGTTTCGCTTGAGGGTAGTACAGCAATCGGGAAGTTATACGAGAAAATCTCAAGGCAAAACGTATGGCGTTTATTGTCTTTTTCTTAGCTACGATGTGCGAAGCTTAATTTTCAAGGAGCTGACATTTTCAACGTTAACAACGAAATCAGTACGACTGAAGAAAGACAAAAGCTTGCGTAACGTTAATAGATTTATTGTAGAATTTTTGTGAAAGTTTTGGATCGGATATCAAAGAGGCGCTGCCCCATTCCTCGCTGTAGATTTTTTGTACAAAGGAAGAAAGTATCATATCACAAATACGAACCAGCGTAGATTCCTCAACAAAACAAGTAGCCCGAACCACATGACTGTTAAACATGTCACATACATACATACATGTAGGTATATTCTGGACTAGTATTATAATACTGAGGGTGATGTAAAAACAGCGGTTACAATACTGCTTAGTCCGGGGCCGTCTATACAAGTTGAACAAAAGAGTGAGTAAGGTACATGTATGCAAGCCGAACACATAACGTTAAATCAATATACATTCGTTGATATCTATATCTAAACATAGAAAATAGAAACAACTTCGGGCAGCAGCGATGTACGGTCAACATACCTTAGCCTTATTAAGGGCATCACTATATTCGTATCGTTAAGACCAAATCTAGATCGTGTGTCTACGGATAATAGTAGTAGGGAGCGCCCTCGGGTACCGGTAATTCGGTAGGGATCGCGCTTCCTGGCATGTCCCCACGTTCGCCTCTTCCGGACATGTCGGGACGGCCACCTGTTCCGGCGAAGTCGGGACGGCCACCTGCTCCGGGCTGCTGGGGACGGCCACCGGCTCCAGGCTGCTCGGGACGGCCACTTGATCCGGGCTGCTGGGGACGGCCACCGGGCTGCTGGGGACGGCCACCGGCGAAGTCGGGACGTCCACCGGCGAAGTCGGGACGTCCGCCGGCGAAGTCGGGACGGCCGCCGGCAAAATCGGGACGGCCACCGGCGAAGTCGGGACGGCCGCCGGCGAAGTCGGGACGGCCACCAGCTCCTTGGTGCTCGGGACGGCCACCTAGTGGTCGAAGCGTAATTTTAAAAGTTGAGTAAAATTACATCAAAATTACTGCAGTCTTCTTACTGTTAAAGGGCGCATGTAAATTGTTACTTTAATTTTTGATCTAACCTACAGAAACTACGGTTTGAAATAGCCTGAATGCCAGACTGTTGTCAGGGCCAGTTCACTAACTCAGGGGTGTCTAAGGGACATATGTTATCCCTGGAACTGAGGAGCTATCCTGTACGTATGCCCCCAGGCCACCCAGGCAACAGTCTGGCACCCAGACTAGTCCCCTGCTCTTTATGTTTTCAAATCTAGTAGGCTAGCCTAAGAACCAAAGGGACAGTTTTTCTGTCAAACCGTAATTTCTGCATCAAATATGCAAACCAATATGAATTTCGGACAGACAATTAGTAGCTATAGGCACAGTCGTCACAGACAGTCATTAGCCTCTACCAGGATTCGGGAGGCGGCTGGAAAAAGTAGAAATTTGCCAAATAGAGAGATAACATGCCAGGGCTCTTTCCAGCCGCTTCCTGAAGCCTGGTAGAAGCTAGACATTCATCAGTCCACATGACAAATGTTGAGAAAACTGCGGCTCACCTGATGGATTCTGTGGCTGATGTTGAGGTCGTCTGTGCGGCCACGCTTCAGCCGACAGCACAGCCATGGAGACCAGCAGAACACACAGGGCGAACTTGGGCGTCATCTTCTGTCTGGACGTCTGGAAATATCAAAATGATTTTGTCAGTAAGACTTTATTCTGGGGTAACACGACAGCGTATTTCACACAAATTTCCGGAAATGTACTTTTATAGTCGTTAGAGAAAGTGTGCTGTTAGAAGAGTGTTTAACTTCCATGCGGCAAGCAAGCACCATTCGTTACTACAAAATACAGTATGACAGATTTTTTTTTCAGATCGATTAAAGTTCAGAAACAGTACTGCATTTTGCCAAAAGTCCAAGCCCTGGACGGAAGTCGTTGAAAATGAATTTCAGTTCATAACAACAAAATGCTGAACTACTCACGTAAAATGCATAATGATATACCAAAAGGGAATAGAAGCTTTCCTGTCAATTCAAGAACACAAACGTTGGTACTAGTGCTCTGTGCAGGTGAATCATTTATAAGGTTAGTTGACAAAACTTCTCACCTCAATCTTGATAGACACAAGACGGGCTGTAAGTCTTCAGCAGTCGGCGATGGGATGTCTTCTTGACTCCTTGGACGTCTTGGTCAGTCCGCAACCACAGCTATGAATCCTTCTCGCATCTCGGCAGTGTCTTTTATACAGTTTGGGACGGGAAGTCTTAATTTTCGCGGTCAACAACGTTAACAGTGGTCTGAGTGGGTTGGAGTGACGTACATCCTTTCCGTGACCCTAAAACTATGCTAAGTAGCGGTCCCATGTGGTGCTTGTTTTGTTGGCTACCGACAGTAATTGAAAACATGCCAAAGTTCCCTCAATACATTGGACGTTCAATGCAAATTCAATCTCGCTGTTCATTGTAACAAGAATATATACTGCCGTGAACCTTTACATGTATACTCAGTGACTACAACGGTTGTAGTCACTGAGAATACATGTAAAGGTTCACGGCAGTATATATTCTTGTTACAATGAACAGCTAGATTGAATTTGCATTGAAAGATACAAATATTTTTAGACCATTTTCTGTTTATACGTAAAGCGTTTTCTTCATTCAACTTCATTTGAAGAATCTGACAACGCAGAGCTATGTGGAATAATTTCTATCAGCATTATACGTTGGTCCAATACATTACAGATGTAGTTGACTCACTCACTACCGACGTCATGTAAAATACGCTTTAATGAGCGAGAAGTTCGAGGCTGATAAAATATTTGACGAATGTCTTCGGTCGTTTAAATACTGCAAAGCAGAATCGGTGCGGAAAAAACACAACAATTGTTGACATGTGGTATAGGCTTTGAATATGATTTAGGTGATAAGCTGTTTAAAAGTAATATAAAAGATTGGGCGTTTTCGGGGGGGGGGGTGATTAGTGCATAACCCCACCTGTCCTATTTTTTCATAAGTCTAGCATCTTTTCTTTTACGATATTCATTCAATTAGGTATATCACCTATGATCATGTATGTTAAAGAAGGAACGAGTGGATGGAAACTTTCAATTGAAGAAGAGCCTGACGAATACACGTAACTTGTTATATACTAGTATTTACTTAGGATTCCATTGTGGTAAACTGTCAGATATTTAGCAAAAACGACAGCGTTTCCGTTACACAAAAGTACAGACAAATGTAATAGACAACGAAAGAAAGAATTTTCATTTCGACAAGTCTTGCTCTTGCATAATTTCCTTTCGAGCTCCAGTGCCAACCTTAGGACCTTTAGACCACGCCAACAACAGACATCACATAGTGAGGCCTAATGTTATTCTGGCAGGCCCTGGTTAGAGGCCAACCACACTGTAGGTGCCAAGTCTGCTCCCCTTCTCAGAAACACTCACCCGAACATGTGGGGTTCTAGTGACGTACATATATGGCCAAGGCCGTTTCACACATGGGTCCGTTTAAGCCTGCATCCTTCCATTAAATGTGCGCGGACTCGGATCGGATGTTTTTGGGCAAAATCTATTCTTTTTTTTTTGCAAAGGAGAAAAACAACCATCTTTCCGAAAGACTGAGGAAGTGACCGCTGTTTAATCACCTCGGCTACCTGTACATCCACTGTGCTTCGTTATTTCGTTACTATGCCACCCATAGATGTTTAATATCACAAGATAAATTTAAAAGGCTATTCTGTGCTGGATGGTTCTAGCTATTTATTGCATATTGGCGGTGGTATAAAGAACATGAAGGGGCTCCTCAAGTAGCTTGTTTTGGGGCTACTAGTATTTCAAACACTTCAAGTATGAAATAATGATGACTACTAAGAAATGGCAGTAAATGTCAATATCAGACGTCCAGCATATTTTTTTTTGCTTTGCCGCCCTGAAACTTGGTTAAATCTGCTAGCTACATAAAAGTGTATTACACCTTTCAGTATGGTACATTGTATTCATCCTATTCATCATAGATTATCTATACAGCTGTATACGTAATTATATTAATATAATAATACTGTATGTATGTATTATCAAAACCTCAAAAGAGGATATTAAAAGCGGTATTTTTTGGCCGTCCGTTTCTGGTCGACAAACTTGACAGCTGTCTCCATGTGGATGTTTGGATGGCAGCGAAAGACAGTATTAGATTGGCCAGGCAGTATCCATTAGTCAGACAGTATCCATTTGCTGCGGCAAATGATATATACTGTTGGACACAGTCTGGATAATCTTTTGCGGCCACCCAAACATCTGCTTGGAGATCAGAGCTTCTCGGGCAGACTATATGCTGAAGCCGACACATGCTTGGCACGCACAAGCCGAGCCGAGAAAACCAAAGTATGTTTTCAATTTTACCGCCAGTGGCAGCGAATACGCACCGCATGCCTCACTGCTACGTCACGAGGCAGCATAGTTCTGGGGCCACCGAAAGGAAGCGCGTCACTGCCACCCACTCGGGCCACAGATGGCTTGAGCGCGAAAATTAAGACTTCCTGTTCCAAACAGTATAAAAGTACACTGAAGATGCGACAAGAACACAGAGCTGCGGTTGCGGACTGACCACGACGACATCGCCAGAAGACAGAGAAGTCACAACTGCCGAGTTTTCTTCTGTGCCATCAAGTTACAGGTAAGACTGTTTCTCAACTATGCTTGGTTCTGTCATATTCACAGTGTTGAAATTTGCTACTGTCTGTATATTTTTATAAGAAAACTTTTGGTTCTTCGGGCGCAGTGCCTGTTGCATGTATTTTCCAGCATTCTACATGAACTCAGTTTCAACGACTTCCGCGAACAAAACGAGCACTAGCTAGCTAAGCTAGTACTTTTGTATATATCTGCCTAGAAGTGTAAAATTACACAACTGCTAACTTAAGGGTACCTTACCTAGCTCTTAGGCTCTCTGTCTTAAAATCCTTTTAGACGATTGGTTCTCTACTTGAAATTGTGTGACATTAAAATCGTCGTACGCCCTAGGATGCATGTAACCACGACATCTGCAGCTGTGACGGTGTCCACTGTCCACGCTACCGGTGAAAAAGGCTATTTTCTGAACACCAAGAGTTGTGCTTGCTTGTCACATAGAAGTTAAACACTCATTTAACACACTTTTTCTCACTACACGGCGACCAAAATGTCTTCCCTACAATTCGTGTCAACTACGCTGTCCTGTTACCCCGGAATAAAGTCTTTTTGACGTTTCCAGATTTCCAGACCGAAGATGACGCCCAAGTTCGCCCTGTGTGTTCTGCTGGTCTCCATGGCTCTGCTGTCGGCTGAAGCGTGGCCGCGCCGCGGCGGCGACTGGAGACGACCTCAGTATCAACCACAGAATCCACCAGGTGAGCAGCACTCTTGCTTGTTAAGCTATGTTTGCCTTTCATACTTATGAAAAACGAAGCGACTAACTTTGTTTTACAGGCATAGCGCCAAAGAGGATGGCCAGACTGGTAATGCATGACATTTAGAATAGAACAGCATGTACATCACGTATTCTAAACTAGGCTTTTATCGTAACCTCCTCCAGTCAGTCAGTCTACATTGGCTATGGCTTAATCGTAATACATGTGTTCTAAAATCATTTTTTTACTGACTTGACCACCAGGTAACCTTGATGGCGTAGACAGTGACCCGGGTTCTCTACCTTCGGAAGGAGGCATGCCGGACGTGTCCCCCGGACAAAAAAAAAAAAAAAAAAAAAAAAAAAAAAAAAAAAAAAAAAAAAAAAAAAAAAAAAAAAATCAGTACGACCGAAGAAAGACAAAAGCTTGCGTAACGTTAATAGATTTATTGTAGAATTTTTG